ATTTTTCTCTTCATGGTGTTTAACATGCTGCTCCATCCCAACCATTAAGATATTCTGTATCTTTTTGTGTGACAGTTTTCATTAACTTTGTTTGGTGTATTTGGCTTATTTTTGACATAATTTTGCTTTTTCCCATGGTTAATGACCCTAATGTTAAAATCTGATTCTACTTTGCATTTGCTGCTCTGTTCTAAAGATATATATGCCATTTTTATAGCAACAACACATCCCTCTGACAACATTCTAAATATTCTGGGGCTAGGTGGCCAAACATAGTTTTTCCTTTCCAGACTGTTTTTCAAGTATTTTTCTCAAGAGCTGCTCTGATAATAGTTGATGCCAAGATCCGAAGCAGGGGAGCAGTCATTTCAGGCTAAGCAGTTGTCAGGAGCAGGTTGGGGTCCAGGGTCTTAAGTACAGGGCAGCTGTGCCCTCACCAGACAGGTCTCATGGCATGATTCTGGCTTTGAAGTTGGCAGCCTCCCTAACCACCTTCACACATGCTGAACACCTACATATTCTTTCAATAAATTCCCTTGTTCTGTTACATTCAGTTGAGGGCTTTTTTTTTTTTTTTTTTTTTTTTTGGTACAATTTCAATAGAAGTTGAAAAAAAGGCAGCTCCCTTAGTGCTAGCAGCTCTGAGCTCTGATCACCAGCAGCTCTCAGCTCTTAGTGTGACCCTGCCCTCTGAGTGCCAGCAGCTTTCATCACTGTTGTTAACAGCTCTCCCCAGCTTTCTATAGTTCTGGTTAAACTGGCAGCTCTGCGCAGTTCTCAGAGCTCTCTAGCAGCTCTTCAGCTGATAGGTAATCTCAGGGCTAGCAGCCCTTGGAACCAACAGCTCAGTCTACTCCACTGGAGAGAAAAATCACATAGATGCAATAAAATCATCCCAGCGAGGCTCCAATGGAACCTACGCTGCAGCACAGCAGGGCTGTGCACAGGACAGAGGTCCCAGACTGGCCAGACGGGAGTAAAAGGAGTGCAGCAGATACAGCCAAAAAGGACAGCACTTGCCATGTGGCCTGCCAGGACTGTATACAGTGGCCTGCCTGTCTGCAAAGGCATACTGGCCCGCCTGGCCTGGCTCCATGGGTGAGGAGGGGCTCCTTGGGACTGCAAGGAGACATCTAAGTGGTTGCAGGGTGGCTGAAGGAGTGGGGTAGTTGTGCACAGCCTGGGTGGGTCTCAGGAGCATGGCAGTGTTGCTCACATCCTAGGGGTCTTTGGGGTCATGTCAGAGTTGTGGCCTTAATGTTAACCCCAAGTGGGCTACAATAGGAACATCTTTTTTTCTATATTTCTTACTATTTTTTTTAAGCTGGTGACAAACTTTTCTGGTCATAAATTGTACCTGGAGCACTTACTAAAAATAAAGAGTATTAGAATCTTGGAGTTTCTAACTCAGTATGCCTGGCAGATGTGCAAGTATGTGCATTTTTAATAGGTCCTCTTGTCTTGCCTAACCCTTCTCCCTTCTCTTCCCTTCCCTACAAGCCCCTGATGTTCTTGTAGTCATGTAATTTTTGAAAAACAGCTTAAATTCTTAGAAGACTTGCCTAGTCAATGGTTTATTTCTATAAGGAGAGAAAAAACTCATTTGTTAATTTTTTTATTATTAAGGAAAAGGAGTTCAGTATTCTCAGGTGTCTTTTTGGAATTCACTGAATAGTCCATGAGCCACCACAGGCTCTGACCTGACACAGCTTGGGTCTCAGTCTCAGCTGTGTCACCATGGACTGTTTCTCTACCTAAAAGGGACGATAAAAGTCCTCACATAGACTAATGTGACAATCAGATGAGAGAATGGGCAATGCTGATGCTTGGGTCAAGTGCTTAGTGCTAGTCAAATGACTGGCACAGAGGGGCTGGGGTGGAGTCCCCAGAAGGGAAAGTGTCCTCCTTTCTTCTCTTATCATTACCCATTATGCCACGAACCCCATATACTATCACTTATTTTGTCAAACATGAAAAGGTTACTACTAAACTCCCTGTTGGTGCAGTATAAGATACCCTGTGCTCTGGTGTGTTTTTCTAGGAAACTAAAATATTCAAGAACACTACTCATTAATAGAAGAGAGACAAGAACAATATGCATTGATTTGGGGACAGGATGTGCACTTTGATAAAACTATTTTTAAAAACATTTTATTTTATATTAATGGCTTTGTTACCAAAGGAAACTGAGATGTAACTTCATGTATCATTCACTTACAAAGTTTTATACCAAACCAAGTTGAACCCAAGACTAAAAATCTCCACTATTCATAGTCCTCTCTTAGGGTAGTTCACCTTGCTCTCTTTTCCTACCCTCAGTGTTTTTCAGAAAACTATTTTTAAGAAGTAGGATGTATATTTCAGCAAATCTACCCTAATTTGTCCTTTTAATATCTAAAATAAATAGCATGACCTTTTCAGAGTCTTATTTATTTAAATTTATTTAATTTTATAAATAGGTGATATATTTAAGCAACTTAAAATAGTTTTCAAAAACAGCATGGTATTGGCACCAAAACAGGCCGGTAGACCAATGGTACAGAATAGAGGACACAGAGACTAACCCACAAAATTACAATTTTTTTATATTAGACAAAGGTGCCAAAAACATGCACTGGAGAAAAGATAGCATCATCTTCAACAAATGGTGCTGGGAAAACTGGAAATCCATATGCAACAAAATAACATTGAACCCCTGTCTCTCACCATGCACAAATAACTCAAAATGGATCAAGGACCTGGGAATTAAATCAGAGACTCTGATTCTAATAGAAGAAAAAGTAGGCCCTAATCTTCATCATGTGGGATTAAGCCCCAACTTCCTTAATAAGACTCCTATAGCACAAGAATTAAAAACAAGAATCAATAAATGGGATGGATTCAAACTAAAAAGTTTTTTCTCAGCAAAGAAACAAACTGTGAGGTGAATAGAAAGCCTACATCCTGGGAGCAAATTTTTACCCCTTACACATCAGATAGAGCACTAATCTCTAGGGTATATAAAGAACTCAAGAAGCTAAGCACCAAAACAAACAAACAAACAATAACAACAAAACAGATAACCCAATCACTAAATAGGCCAAGGACCTGAACAGACACTTCTCAGAAGAGGATATAAAATCAATCAACAAATATATGAAAAAATGCTCATCATCTCTAGTAATCAGAGAAGTGCAAATCAAAACTACTCTAAGATATCATCTCACTCCAGTCAGAATGGCAGCTATTATGAAGACAAACAACAAGTGTTGGCGAGGATGTGGGGAAAAAGGTACACTTATACATTGCTGGTGGGACTGCAAATTGGTACAGCCAATTTGGAAAGCAGTATGGAGATTCCTTGGAAATCTGGGAATGGAACTACCATTTGACCCAGCTATTCCTCTTCTTGGACTATACCCAAAGGACTTAAAAACAGCATACTACAGGGACACAGCCACATCAATAGCAGCACAATTCACAATAGCTAAATTGTGGAGCCAACCTAGATGTCCTTCAGTGGATTAATGGATGAAAAAAAAAATGTGGCATATATATACAATGGAATATTACTCAGCATTAAAAGAGAACAAAATCATGGCATTTGCAGGTAAATGGATGGTGTTGGAGAAGATAATGCTAAGTGAAGTCAGCCAATCCCCAAAAAACAAATGCTGAATGTTTTCTCTGATACAAGGGGGGTGACTCATAGTGGGGTAGGGAGGGAGAGCATGGAAGAATTAGATTAATTCTAGATAGGGAAGAGGGGTGCTCAGCAAGAATGCCATTTTCCAATAACAGAAATTAGAGCTCTTTAGAGAAGTCACTGATTCTGAGACATAATGGTTACAAACAATAGCCCAAAGGGTCTGGAATGTATCAACAGGATACAGAAGCTGACTGAAAGAACCCAAGTGGCCAAAGCCAGAAAATGTGAGGAGAAAAGTAAGCAAAGCAATACTGGATTATAACCAAGGAATAAAATAAAAATTCATGAGCTGGGTACAGTGGCACATGCCTCTAATCCCAGTGGTTCAGGAGGCTGAGACAGAAGGATTGCTAGTTCAAAGCCAGCCTCAACAAAAGCAAGGCACTAGGCAACTCAGTGAGACCCTGTCTCTAAATAAAATACAAAAAAGGGCTGGGGATGTGGATCAGTGGTTGAGTGCCCCTGAGTTTAATCCCTGGTACCCCCAAATAAAAAAATTTAAAAAATTAAAATCCATTTGTAAAATCCACATGTAAATGACACATTAAAAATGTGGAGAAAAGATAAATCTTCCACGCAGAAGAATTCCAAGTACGGCATTCTGACTGCTTCCCTGAAGGTGAGGGGCAGACTTCCAGTTCAAGTCTTAGTGTACATAGAGAACTCCTTCCAGAGAATACAGGGTAGAGAAGGAGAAAGGAAATCACAGTCATGCAGCCAGGTCATGAAAGTTGACATGGATGGCTGCCACACATTATGTTGATGATACTTACTTGTGAAAAGATTAATGCCATAGTGACAACAGCACTCTGTCTTTTCCTTCCCCAACCCAATGACTCCAGTGTGATCATGAGGAAAAAACTCAGATAATTCTAACAGAGGGGCATCCTATAATATACCTGACTAGGTGTTACAGTCTGGAGTTTACATGTCCCCCTAAAGCTTATGTGCCGAAGGCCCCAGCTGATGGCACTCTTGGGAGGTGGTAGAAACTTCAGGAGGCAGGCCTAGCTGGAGAAAGTGGGTTCTTTGGGGGTGTGCCCTTGAAGACTATGTTGGGGCCAGGTCCCCTTCCTCTCTGGGCTTACAACGTCTTCGGTACACACCCATAAGTCTTACCACTCTCAAAGACACGACTGAAGGGATGTGAGGAAGCCGGAATCCCAGACATGGTTACCCTTATAGTTACAGTTAAGTATATTTGCAGGATAAATTGATTAAAGTAAGGTTTTGTTGTGATTATAAGAAAAAAATTTCTAGAAAATTCCTCATTATGGTTAGTTGCTAACAACAGAAAAAAAATGCTCTTTACCTAGTACTTCTTTCTGCAAATCATGGCATCTGACTTGTAAGTTTTCTTCCTGCCGCTTGGACATATGAATCTGCTGGGACCTCAAGATGGCTGTATCTGACAACAGTTTGAGATTTTTCATTTCCTCTTCAAGGCATACCTTAGTTCTCTGTGACGCTGTCAAACTTTTATTTAATGTCTCTATCTCTGTAAAGAAAATTCAAAATTTATAAATAAGTAACCCTGAAGCATAAAACATTTCTCCAAAAACTGGTTTTCTTTTAGAAAATGAACAGTTGGAAGCCAACACTATCTTTTCTGGGAGGATAATGAGACCTAAGCAAAAGGTTAAACTTAAATTCAGTAGTGATTCTGAAAAAGAAATGAGAAAGGGGTTGTATTGCTAAATGATGCATGAAAGAATTCAGTAGTTGTTTCTTAGACCTTAAAATTATACCAAATGGCAATGCAGACAACTTCTTAAGTACTCACAAATGAGTCATATAATATCTGTGTAATGGTCTGGGTTTTACTGAAACTATACTATTTTCTTGGCAATGTGATTCAGAAAAGTAAGCTTAAATGTGCTAGCAGGATAAATTGATTAAAGCAAGGTTTTGTTGTGATTACAAGAAAAAAAAATTTTTCTTATAATGCGCCGGCTGGTAGCATTTCTAAAACAATGACTAGTGTGCATTCTATACAAATTATAAAGAAAGGTGATAAGGGAGAAAAGGGCAAGAAGGATAAAGTAGCTAAAGCTGATAAACTTCTGGGTAACATTTATTAGTTAATAAATATGTTTTAATGATTATAATGGTATCCTGTTTCCCCACCCCCAAAATGAGACCAGAATCCATCATAGCAATGATCAGTCATTATTCTATCTCTTTAATAAAAGTTTAATAAAAAATATATCTTTGAAGTTCTTAGATTGAAATGTGCTAATTTTATAGAATTTGTTGAGAAATATGTGGAGCATACTGTTGGTCAGAATAATCATCAGGGGCTGGGGTTGTGGCTCAGTGGTGGAGTGCTCGCCTAGCATGCATGAGGCACTGGGTTTGAGCCTCAGCACCAAATACATCAAAAATGTAAAATGAGGATACTGTGGCCATCTAAAACTTAAGAATAAATATTTAAAAAGAATAATAATCAAACTCCCCTTCTTTAATGTTTTCAGTATTGCACCATAAACCACCATTAAAATATATGTACGCAAACACAGTAGTAATACTATAGAACTTGTACAATCACAATTAGTTGAACTAACGAGGATGCGATCTACATGAAAACCCAGATGGTGTGCTTTTCCAGAGGGCTCACTGGTGTCCCTTCTTGGCTAGCCTCTCCTGATGTGGGACCATATCAGGTGTGACTGGTCTTCTGGGGAGATTGGCTTATTTTATTGCTCTTCAGACTACCAGCAGACATGGCAGCCACATGGTCAAGGACAGCCAGAAGACAGACATACAGGAGAGGCAACATGGCCTGCAAATGGTCACAGGAGCTGTAAAGCAGTGACCAGAACAGAGAAGACACATGCCTTATGGAATGGTGAGGAGGAGGAGGACCTGGAACATAGCCCAGGGAAAGGAGTAAAAGAGAGTCTGGAAGGGAGGGGCACCCACCGCCGACCTGGGCTGGAAATGAGGGTCAGGTACATTTTTCACTCTAAGTTTCTGCTCAAAATGGAAAATTGGAGAAATAAATTGGCAGGGACCAAATAAGTACATCTCTACTATGGTGCAATGGTTACTTTATGTGGAAATTTCTGCCCCAAGATTAGCTAACCTGCTTCTTAAAACTTAGAATAATGCATCCATTTCTGTGAGGATAACTACCAATACACAAATACATAAAATTTTTAAAAGACTGAAGTTTAAGAAAATAAGGTTACAGATTTCTCTCATACCTAACAAGTCTCTCTGTGTTTCTGTAGTCATCAAGGTAGCTTCTAATGTCTGAATAAACTGTACTGTAGCACAACTGTACCTATGTTTAAGTCAGAATGACACGTACAGTAGCACACACATGCTGTCACCTATTTATCATTTGCCAAAATGACACTGCTTGGGTTAAGCAGGCTGACTCTGTTAGTGAACACCACAGTCTCTAAAATAACTACTCGTGTCAATGTGACTTTCTATCTGACATTAAAAGAATAAGAATCTGCAATACAAATTTATTTGTAAAATGTAGTTTAAAAATGTGGAAAGGTACAGCAAGATTTCAAAATTGACAGAAGTGGCAACATTCCTATCATGGCATTAAGAAAGTCAGTGGCTATGAACTGTATGGCAAACTATTTACACTCCTGTACCTAGGGCAGCCCTGGGGTCAAGTCTGAATCCTGCCTTCTCCCATTATACAACCTCATACTTGTCAGTCTTGGGTCCTAGACTGGGGTTCAGGAATTATAATCCCTACCAGGTCAACCCACATTGGTCACTGTACCTGCCTTGGGCCTCCCCTGGTCAGCACCACCCCTTGACGAAGATCCTCTTATCCCCAAACATCTGGTCTTCCTCTGTGGAAATCTTTTCAGACCTGATCCACCTGTGTCCTAATCTTCATACAACCAACTTACACATTTGCACTGCACTGATCATACACAAATGTGATCCACCACTGGACTACAAGTCCTTTTAGGCCAGGGATAATATCGTCCTCATATATATTCCCTCCATAGTTCCTATGAAACATCCAGAATTAACTGAGAGACTCAGTGGACACCTACACTATGAGAAAGGCATAGCTGAGCACAGCTTCTAAGAGAGTCTACTAATGCCTGGGAGAGCACACTGAGCACCCATCTGCCTCAGCCTTCGTTTCAGAGGCAGGCAGTTCATGCCTCATGTTTCTTAATACCCGACTGGTAGTCAGACTTCCAAAGGGAAGAAACATTTTTAACAGGATAGATAAGGAAAAAGGCCTGTTTTATCCTTAGATTTCATTGGTCTTATTATATTTCTAAGTCCAGTTCTAAACTTGAATTTTAAAAGTTCAAAAGCTATTCAGGGGCTGAGGGTATAGCACAGTGGTTGAATGCTTGCCTGGCATGTATGAGGCCTTGGGTTCAATTCCCAGCACTGCTTAAAAGGAAAAAAAAAAAAAAGAAAAAAAGGAAGAAAGAAAAAGACAAGCTACTCAGACAATGCTTGTTTTGAGAGTGGAAGCAAAACGTCTTTTACTAGGTAATATGGGTACAATTATTAGCATTGATCTCATGCAATCAATTTCTTCAATTTGTTAAGATTTTTATAGGGTTGAGGGTGTAGCTCAGTGATAAAACCCTTGTCTAGCATGTGTGAGGACCTGGGCTCAATCTCCAGCACTGTAAAAAAAAATTTTCCCATCTTTTTAGTCCTATATATCAAATGAACTTAAAATTATAGGTCATTATGTGATTAATGTACCTCTAGAACCTTATTATCAAGGAATTCTAATATTACAGACACAGTGTAAGCATTAATTCTCATGACCTTACTTAGTTTTATTATAATGGGACAAGATCCTCATAACCTAGAGCTGTTAAATGAAGAAATCAGAAAACAGTATGGAGACTTTTGAATGTTTTAAATATTTAAATATAATTTTGAAATAATTATAGATTTAAAGAAACTTGATGATAAGCACATAAGGAGGTCCTGTTCCCCAGCTCCATTACTCCCCATGTGGGGTCCTTGGTGTAACCATAGTACACAATGAAACTAGAAAATCTACAAGGATACAATCAGAGTTTATTTAGATTTTACCAGCTGTAAACATCCCAGTGTGTGTCTTCTACATGATTTTTATCACAGTGCAGCTTCATATAAGGACACCAAGACCCAAACACAGACGTGCTGACCGAGCATTCCTAACCTCTAGAAACTGCATTGGTTGTTTCAGAATGCTTTAGGAATGGAAGCATATGCTATAGGTGAGCTTTTGGAACTGGCTTTTTTCACTTAGCAAATTTTCCTTGAGGCTTATTCAAGTTGTGTGGGTTAACAATTATTTTCTTTTGGTTGCTGGGAAGTAGTATATGGAATGGATATAGATGGTTGTCTTTCATCCCTGAAGGGTATTTGGACTGCTTCCAGTTTGGGGCTATGAATGGAATGCTAGGAACATTTACATACAGGTATTTCTTGTGAACACAGGCTCCATTTCTCTGGGGTAAATGCTCAGGAGCACAAATGCTGGGTTATGTGAGAAGTGCATTTTTAGTGTTAAAGGAAATTGCAAGATTATCTTCTAGAATGACTATAATCTTTTACATCCCTACTGGAGATGCTGAGTGATCTAGTTTCTCTAATCCTCATCAATACTTAGTGAGGTAAGTCTTTTCAATTTTAGATATTCCAACAGATAGTTTTATATTGCATTTGTCTAGTGGCTAAGATATTGAGTATTTATTTTTCCAAGCACTTATTTTCTACCAGTCTACTCCCTTTGGTGAAATTCCTGCTCATATCCTTTACCTGTTTTCTAACTGGATTTTTCAAAATGCAGAGTTTTGACAGTTCTTTCTTCTGCATACAAGGCCTGTCCTGGTACATGGCGAGCTAAAGTACTGGTCTCTGGCTTCTGTAGTGCCTTTTCATCCTATTAACAGGATCTTCCACAGAGCCCAAGTTCTTAAGTGCTAAGATCCAATTTATTGATTTTTTTCCTTGCAAGTATCATATTCTTAGCCTATGCCTAAGAACTTTGGACTAATCATGGGCTGTAACATTTTTTTCCCAAAAAAGTTTTACAGTTTTTCATTTGATATTTATTTCTGTGATTTATTTTGGAGGTGTAAGGTGTGAGTCTTAGGTTAAGGAATTTTATTTATTTGTTTATTTATTTATTCTGCTTAAGGATATAAAGTTGCCCAGCATCATTTATTGAAAAGGTTGTCCTTCTGCTACTGAAGTGTGTGTACAACCTTCCCCAAAATAAACTGAGCCAGGCACCATGGTGCACACTTATTATCCCAGCAATTTGGGAAGCTGAGACAGCAGGATTGCAAGTTCAAGGTCAGCCTTGGCAAATTAGCGAGGACCTGTCTCAAAGTAAAAGAATAAATAAATAAATAGATAAATAAATAAATAGTATGACTAATAAGAATACATTCTGAAACACAAGAGGAGATAAATATGACAGAGGGAGCATGGGGTTTAGAATAAAAGAGAAGAGGAGCAGCGACCACATCCCAATTCCTTGTTGTGCCAGGT